AACCAATCAATCAATCAATTCTATGCTTCGTACAAATAGAATTACAACATAAAAAAAAATAAAAATGAACACAGAACACGGACATAATATCAGGAGAGAGATAATGAAACATGAAGACTGTCTACTTGTAAAATACCAGGGTCCTAAATCAATGACCTACTTATTCGTAACCTCATTTAACAAAATGTATAATAAATAGTAAATCGCGAGAGAAGTATAGACTGTGAATTCTATCCTTGTATGGAAAGTGAAGCTAACATCTTTATAACCAGTCCAATGGGCACTAATAGAAGAAAATAACTTCCAGATATTTATAATACTCCAAATGACAGTCAGAAATCTGAATCTGATTATCGCCCAAACTTATCGGGTATTTATATTATAAAGTGTCTAACCGAAGTAAATTATCGTTCAATGTCTGCAGAAAACGGTGATTGCATTCCTATACCATAACCAAACACTCGCACGCCTTTCACGACTCTACTACAGTAAGCCTTTTGCGTCAAATGATAACTATTGATTGGTAGGGTGCGTTCATTCAAAGATACCCGTTACACTAAAGCTGACGAAGCTAAAATCTAAATATAGATCTGACTGCTATGAACATATATAAATATCCGTATATGTTGGCTCGCGCTTACAACACGTGAAGCAAGCGACTAAGGAGCAGCATTTAAAACTTAATCATGAAAATAAGGCTCAACTATCCTGATTTAACGGAAGTTGAAGTTCGACTCAGTGAGGTAAATATATAAACTCATGTCCGCTATATGATTTATGACCGCAACCCAATATAAACAATCACTAGAATTGATATAACTACTGGTTTTATCGAATTATTTATCCATTTGCGGTCTTCTATTTGATTCATTTTATGAAAAAGCAAAATTGCTTGCTGTGTTTCATATAATAACACAACACAAAGACAAAAGTCACGATTCCTCGAGTTTATTTAACGGTGTTTTAATCGTTTGATTTCTGATGAAGTAGTACTCATACAAATCCCCAGGAATAAAGCTTGTTTTTTTTTTCAATTGCTTCATTGTTAGCAAGTTATAACTCGAATACAAAATAGGTTCATACAGTTGCATCTCTTTATTTGCAGTTTTCGATGAATTTGATATTTGAAATGAGCAATAATAAAGTAAAACATCGACTCCTTTTGTGACATCAATGCGGCACGTGTCTGTGTTTTATATCTGCTTATATTTTGTCTATTCAGAGACGGAAGAGAAAGGTTTCATCCCTGCTTAAACGACTGCCCCCTGACTCGGTTATAAAACGCTGGGGAAAGACGATTGCGAGTGAATGCTTGATAAGCAAGGCTTTCACCGATGGCGCTATTGTTGAAGTGGTCCGCAAGTCTAGGATTCGCACACGAAGGCTTTGGAATGGCGTCAAAAGATCAACTGAGCAATGCATGATCACCCTGGCCCGGGATGAACCAAGAGCTCAAATGCCATGTGGACACGCCATCAGTGAGTATTACATTGTGGTCCTGCCATAAAGAGTCACCATGAACAAAATTTCGCGGATTTTATCTCGTTATGAAGGATTTGACCTAATCATGGGATGAGTTAGCATATTGGACAAGATATACGTTATTGAAGCGACATATACATAGCCTGGAACGTTTTGATGAAATGTTTCCATACGAGTTAAGGAAAAGTGATCTAAGTAAGCTCGACTGATAGGTGCCAAGTATTCATTCAAAATGTGTTTTTAAAATCGACTGATAAATTCTTCGCCCAAAATCGTATCATTTCATTCTGAATGTCTTTGAAAAATAATCCTTTCTGCTGAAGCTTTATTCATCAGACTTCTGTACCATTTGCTATTTTGTCTAAAAACAGAATTTATTCGAGATAACGTTATCTAAATTCAGTGCATTACGGTACTTCCTTTTGAAAGAAAGTTGTGATAAAGTTTTGAATGTCGTTATGCCTTTGATATTGTAGCACCTCAGGCACTGTGCGACTATTGCTGGCATGAGCTGGAGAAAGGAAGTTCTGCAATCACTTGCCCATACGTCACAACCATCAAGGGAGACAAATGTGGGTCCAAATGGGATTCCTACACCGTCCAATTATCTGCTGCTATGTCCAAAACAGAAAAGAAATCATTTCAAACCAAGCTCGACAAAAATAGGATCAAACAACAGGAAATAGAATCTACAAACGTATATCCGGATGACATCATGATTTCGCTCCTCCATAAGTCACCAAAACTACGTGGATGTTCGACAGCTCTTATGCGCCGGGCATGTCCTAAATGCTGGAGTGTTATTGAACATGTGGCCGGGTGTCTAACCATGACTTGTCAGTACCCATCATGTCAGTACCGGTTTTGTTTTCGATGTCTTGGTAATTATGTATCGGGAATAGATCATAATAGATGCCATCAAGCACCTTTACAATTTTCTACCGATGAGTAAGTGAACAGACAGCATGCTGGCATTCTAACGACTGTATAATCAACAGGACTGTATATAGTGTACATAGCACCCATCACAGATCATATTTATATATTCTATTGTAGCATTCTTTATAATAGTCCGACTTGTATGCGTCTTACATCTATCTGTTATTACATGTTACTTACTGTGATTCTTTGTTGTTACTTTTTGTCCTGAATGTAAACATCAACAATTTGTAATGTTGAAATCAACAATTTGTAATGTTGACATCAACAATTTGTAATGTAGACATCAACAATTTGTAATGTTGAAAGTTATAGATAGAAGTGTTAAAATATCGTACTGGTGGGATTGTTTTTGTATTGTAACAGTAAAATAATCAATAATAGATATATGTTTCTGTTTTTTATCATAAATACAGTAAAATATCAGTGTTCGTAAAAAGATACTTCTAGTTACAGTTCAAAGCCGCCATCAACCAACGCTAACCATTCACGGCCATTGACCAGTGTATAACATACAGTGAAGCAATGGTTATCTGCTGTATCAAATGTGTCGATGATGTTAGACAGAACGACTAATGAAACGATTATCAAAGAATGATGATCCACGCGAGTTTACTTAATATTCTTTTATTAGGGTAAGATGTTTCGAAAAAAAGTTATCGTTCAATTTTTTAAGGTTTAACAATTAGTCAGTTACTAATATACTGGAAAAAGTCTTTATATTGGTGTTACTAATGCACGTTCCAATCGGCCACTTACATCAAGGCTAGCAACAAAACATATTCAAACAGGAACACGATGGAAAGGTCAAGAAAGCGCAATATGATGAAATTCATCTTCTCTCTGATTTCGTAGTTTACATTTGTTTAAAATTTTATTATTCATTTTGATGTCTCCGCTGGATTTGAATCAGGAGCCGCTGACATTCTACTCTAACGCGGAAACCGATCGAGCTTAGAACAGCTCTCTAGTTGAGCGGTGTATTGCCTGTAGTATTTTACCATTGTTACACACTGGCGTTTTTTTTCAAAATGTAAACAAGATTTGATTAATTGTCACATCGTAATGTTTATTAAGTGACGAATGTCTGTATAAGTGAGGAAACGAAGAAAGTTTTGACAAAAATAGCGGGTAAAATATTAATTGTGTATTTATATGGAGTTATTTATTACAATTAATTTTGCCTCTTCTAACACGCTAATCGAAACTGTTTTTGCTTACCATGCATCTTGTACTAGGAATGTTTTCCTGTTTTTTTTTTCGGTTTTATTTTTTGAAGCAAAAAAGGACATGTCATTAGGTGTACCTTACAGATTTTTTCACAGTAACTATCAAATGAGGGTTGTAATTCAGTTGTGATAATCGAGGTATGGAATTAATGGAATGTGAATTTTGAAAATTAAAATATTTTTTGTACACGATGTCATGTGTTATTTACTGCGCGTCATGTAGCCTTCTGTAGTATCCAACCCTATTCACACTTCACAAGTATTGACTGATATAAACAATTCAAAATTTGAAATACATTGAGAAATTTGGATCTTAGTAAATAGCTGTCTTGATAAATTCGCTTCATATTCTTATTTCGTTTCATGCAATGATAAAAACAGATTTGATAAGGTTTCTATGTATCAATGACCGAAATCTGTTTATGGCGACTAATATTGAGAAAATGATAAAGTGATACGATTCTTTTTGTGTATATTCTTATTATGTGTGAAATAATCTGCGAATGACTAGTCCCTGGACGACGAATGAATAAATAAATACATAAATAAATAAATCAATCAACCAACCAAACAACCAACCAACCAACCAATCAACTGACCAACCAACCAACCAACCAACCAACCAAACAACCAACCAACCAACCAACCAACCAACCAACAAACCAACCAATCAATCAATCAATTCTATGCTTCGTACAAATAGAATTACAACATAAAAAAAAATAAAAATGAACACAGAACACGGACATAATATCAGGAGAGAGATAATGAAACATGAAGACTGTCTACTTGTAAAATACCAGGGTCCTAAATCAATGACCTACTTATTCGTAACCTCATTTAACAAAATGTATAATAAATAGTAAATCGCGAGAGAAGTATAGACTGTGAATTCTATCCTTGTATGGAAAGTGAAGCTAACATCTTTATAACCAGTCCAATGGGCACTAATAGAAGAAAATAACTTCCAGATATTTATAATACTCCAAATGACAGTCAGAAATCTGAATCTGATTATCGCCCAAACTTATCGGGTATTTATATTATAAAGTGTCTAACCGAAGTAAATTATCGTTCAATGTCTGCAGAAAACGGTGATTGCATTCCTATACTATAACCAAACACTCGCACGCCTTTCACGACTCTACTACAGTAAGCCTTTTGCGTCAAATGATAACTATTGATTGGTAGGGTGCGTTCATTCAAAGATACCCGTTACACTAAAGCTGACGAAGCTAAAATCTAAATATAGATCTGACTGCTATGAACATATATAAATATCCGTATATGTTGGCTCGCGCTTACAACACGTGAAGCAAGCGACTAAGGAGCAGCATTTAAAACTTAATCATGAAAATAAGGCTCAACTATCCTGATTTAACGGAAGTTGAAGTTCGACTCAGTGAGGTAAATATATAAACTCATGTCCGCTATATGATTTATGACCGCAACCCAATATAAACAATCACTAGAATTGATATAGCTACTGGGTTTATCGAATTATTTATCCATTTGCGGTCTTCTATTTGATTCATTTTATGAAAAAGCAAAACTGCTTGCTGTGTTTCATATAATAACACAACACAAAGACAAAAGTCACGATTCCTCGAGTTTATTTAACGGTGTTTTAATCGTTTGATTTCTGATGAAGTAGTACTTATACAAATCCCCAGGAATAAAGCTTGTTTTTTTCAATTGCTTCATTGTTAGCAAGTTATAACTCGAATACAAAATAGGTTCATACAGTTGCATCTCTTTATTTGCAGTTTTCGATGAATTTGATATTTGAAATGAGCAATAATAAAGTAAAACATCGACTCCTTTTGTGACATCAATGCGGCACGTGTCTGTGTTTTATATCTGCTTATTTTTTGTCTATTCAGAGACGGAAGAGAAAGGTTTCATCCCTGCTTAAACGACTGCCCCCTGACTCGGTTATAAAACGCTGGGGAAAGACGATAGCGAGTGAATGCTTGATAAGCAAGGCTTTCACCGATGGCGCTATTGTTGAAGTGGTCCGCAAGTCTAGGATTCGCACACGAAGGCTTTGGAATGGCGTCAAAAGATCAACTGAGCAATGCATGATCACCCTGGCCCGGGATGAACCAAGAGCTCAAATGCCATGTGGACACGCCATCAGTGAGTATTACATTGTGGTCCTGCCATAAAGAGTCATCATGAACAAAATTTCGCGGATTTTATCTCGTTATGAAGGATTTGACCTAATCATGGGATGAGTTAGCATATTGGACAAGATATACGTTATTGAAGCGACATATACATAGCCTGGAACGTTTTGATGAAATGTTTCCATACGAGTTAAGGAAAAGTGATCTAAGTAAGCTCGACTGATAAGTGCCAAGTATTCATTCAAAATGTGTTTTTAAAATCGACCGATAAATTCTTCGCCCAAAATCGTATCATTTCATTCTGAATGTCTTTGAAAAATAATCCTTTCTGCTGAAGCTTTATTCATCAGACTTCTGTACCATTTGCTATTTTGTCTAAAAACAGAATTTATTCGAGATAACGTTATCTAAATTCAGTGCATTACGGCACTTCCTTTTGAAAGAAAGTTGTGATAAAGTTTTGAATGTCGTTATGCCTTTGATATTGTAGCACCTCAGGCACTGTACGACTATTGCTGGCATGAGCTGGAGAAAGGAAGTTCTGCAATCACTTGCCCATACGTCACAACCATCAAGGGAGACAAATGTGGGTCCAAATGGGATTCCTACACCGTCCAATTATCTGCTGCTATGTCCAAAACAGAAAAGAAATCATTTCAAACCAAGCTCGACAAAAATAGGATCAAACAACAGGAAATAGAATCTACAAACGTATATCCGGATGACATCATGATTTCGCTCCTCCATAAGTCACCAAAACTACGTGGATGTTCGACAGCTCTTATGCGCCGGGCATGTCCTAAATGCTGGAGTGTTATTGAACATGTGGCCGGGTGTCTAACCATGACTTGTCAGTACCCATCATGTCAGTACCGGTTTTGTTTTCGATGTCTTGGTAATTATGTATCGGGAATAGATCATAATAGATGCCATCAAGCACCTTTACAATTTTCTACCGATGAGTAAGTGAACAGACAGCATGCTGGCATTCTAACGACTGTATAATCAACAGGACTGTATATAGTGTACATAGCACCCATCACAGATCATATTTATATATTCTATTGTAGCTTTCTTTATAATAGTCCGACTTGTATGCGTCTTACATCTATCTGTTATTACATGTTACTTACTGTGATTCTTTGTTGTTACTTTTTGTCCTGAATGTAAACATCAACAATTTGTAATGTTGACATCAACAATTTGTAATGTTGACATCAACAATTTGTAATGTAGACATCAACAATTTGTAATGTTGAAATCAACATTTTGTAATGTTGACGGTTATAAATAAAAGTGTTAAAATATCGTACTGGTGGGATTGTTTTTGTATTGTAACAGTAAAATAATCAATAATAGATATATGTTTCTGTTTTTTATCATAAATACAGTAAAATATCAGTGTTCGTAAAAAGATACTTCTAGTTACAGTTCAAAGCCGCCATCAACCAACGCTAACCATTCACGGCCATTGACCAGTGTATAACATACAGTGAAGCAATGGTTATCTGCTGTATCAAATGTGTCGATGATGTTAGACAGAACGACTAATGAAACGATTATCAAAGAATGATGATCCACGCGAGTTTACTTAATATTCTTTTATTAGGGTAAGATGTTTCGAAAAAAAGTTATCGTTCAATTTTTTAAGGTTGAACAATTAGTCAGTTACTAATATACTGGAAAAAGTCTTTATATTGGTGTTACTAATGCACGTTCCAATCGGGCATGTTCATCGAGGCTGGCAAGGAAAAACATTCAAACAGCACCACAATAAAAAGGTCAAAATCTTGGTCCGGCTGTAGTTTGGAGGGCAATTCATTACGTTTGGAGAACCAAAGGCGTCATCGTGAAATAAGGTAACGGAGACGTAACTTCTCAAGTCCGATATCCAAGGAAATATTTGTTATTCCATTTATATGAAAGAAGGCAATAATGACGTCACAGAAAAGCACCACAGTGAAAGAAATAAGACCGCAAAACGACCACACAGTCACAGTTCACTAAAATCAGTACTGTGTAAAATCTAGAAGATAACAAGGATAGGTATATGTATTTGAATGCATATTAAATAAATACATCAACTTAGCGTGTTTAAAAAAGAAACTTTTGTTTTGATTTTGTTTTTTGTTTTTATCAATTGAACGATAATCGGATCAGTTTTGAGCAAAGCAATATGCAATTAGATAACTTAAAAGTACGGTTGTTAAATCTCACCATCCATTATTAGGTGGTACATGTTAAGATTAGCTGGTTTTCTTATCTTATGACCAGAACGCGTCAGTTCGAATCATACAAAAAATACCATAGACCCATATTTTGAAAGGAAATGCGATTCGCAACCACTGATTGATATGATATGATATTTTTTCAACATAAAGCATCAGGATATGATCATTCAAATTTCTATAACTTGATCTGCGGAAAATACGCTGGCATACTCACACTAACCCAGGCTGGCATACTCACACTAACCCAGGCTGGCATACTCACACTAGCCTAGGCTGGCATACTCACACTAACCCAGGCTGGCATACTCACACTAACCCAGGCTGGCATACTCACACTAGCCTAGGCTGGCATACTCACACTAACCCAGGCTGGCATACTCACACTAGCCTAGGCTGGCATACTCACACTAACCCAGGCTGGCATACTCACACTAGCCTAGACTGGCATACTCACACTAACCCAGGCTGGCATACTCACACTGATCTAGGCTGGCATGATCACACTGACCCAGGCTGGCATACTCACACTGACCCAGGCTGGCATACTCACACTAACCCAGGCTGGCATACTCACACTAACCCAGGCTGGCATACTCACACTAACCCAGGCTGGCATACTCACACTAGTCTAGGCTGGCATACCCACACTAACCCAGGCTGGCATACTCACACTAGCCCAGGCTGGCATACTCACACTAACCCAGGCTGGCATACTCACACTAACCCAGGCTGGCATACTCACACTATCCTAGGCTGGCATACTCACACTAACCCAGGCTGGCATACTCACACTAGCCCAGGCTGGCATACTCACACTAACCAAGACACTAACCCAGGCTGGCATTCTCACACTAACCCAGGCTGGCATTCTCACACTACCCTAGGCTGGCATACTCACACTAACCCAGGCTGGCATACTCACACTAACCCAGGCTGGCATACTCACACTAGCCTAGGCTGGCATACTCACACTAACCCAGGCTGGCATACTCACACTAACCCAGGCTGGCATACTCACACTAGCCTAGGCTGGCATACTCACACTAGCCTAGACTGGCATACTCACACTAACCTAGGCTGGCATACTCACACTAACCCAGGCTGGCATACTCACACTAACCCAGGCTGGCATACTCACACTAACCTAGGCTGGCATGCTCACACTAACCCAGGCTGGCATACTCACACTAACCCAGGCTGGCATACTCACACTAACCCAGGCTGGCATACTCACACTAACCTAGGCTGGCATACTCACACTAACCTAGGCTGGCATACTCACACTAACCCAGGCTGGCATGCTCACACTAAGCTAGTCTGGCATACTCACACTAACCTAGGCTGGCTTGCTCACACTAACCCAGGCTGGCATACTCACACTAACCCAGGCTGGCATACTCACACTAGCCTAGACTGGCATACTCACACTAACCTAGGCTGGCATACTCACACTAACCCAGGCTGGCATACTCACACTTACCCAGGCTGGCATACTCACACTAGCCTAGGCTGGCATACTCACACTAACCCAGGCTGGCATACTCACACTAACCCAGGCTGGCATACTCACACTAACCCAGGCTGGCATACTCACACTAACCCAGGCTGGCATACTCACACTGACCCAGGCTGGCATACTCACACTAGCCTAGGCTGGCTTTCTCACACAAACCCAGGCTCACACTAACCCAGGCTGGCATACTCACACTAACCCAGGCTGGCATACTCACACTAGTCTAGGCTGGCATACTCACACTAACCCAGGCTGGCATACTCACACTAACCCAGGCTGGCATGCTCACACTAACCTAGGCTGGCATACTCACACTAACCCAGGCTGGTTTGCTCACACTAAGCTAGTCTGGCTAACTCACACTAACCGAGGCTGGCTAGCTCACACTAACCCAGGCTGGCATACTCACACTGATCTAGGCTGGCATGATCACACTGACCTAGGCTGGCTTGCTCACACTAACCTAGGCTGGCATGCTCACACTAACCCAGGCTGGCATACTCACACTAACCCAGGCTGGCATACTCACACTAGCCTAGGCTGGCATACTCACACTAGCCTAGACTGGCATACTCACACTAACCTAGGCTGGCATACTCACACTAACCCAGGCTGGCATACTCACACTAACCCAGGCTGGCATACTCACACTAGCCTAGGCTGGCATACTCACACTAACCCAGGCTGGCATACTCACACTAACCCAGGCTGGCATACTCACACTAACCCAGGCTGGCATACTCACACTAGCCTAGGCTGGCATACTCACACTAACCCAGGCTGGCATACTCACACTAACCCAGGCTGGCATACTCACACTAACCGAGGCTGGCATACTCACACTAACCTAGGCTGGCTTGCTCACACTAACCTAGGCTGGCATACTCACACTAACCTAGGCTGGCTTGCTCACACTAACCCAGGCTGGCATACTCACACTAACCTAGGCTGGCATGCTCACACTAACCTAGGCTGGCATGCTCACACTAACCCAGGCTGGCATGCTCACACTAACCTAGGCTGGCATGCTCACACTAAGCTAGACTGGCATGCTCACACTAACCCAGGCTGGCATACTCACACTAGCCTAGGCTGGCATGCTCACACTAAGCTAGGCTGGCATGCTCACACTAAGCTAGGCTGGCATGCTCACACTAACTCAGGCTGGCATGATTACACTAACCTAGGCTGGCATGCTCACACTAGCCTAGGCTGGCATACTCACACTAGCCTAGACTGGCATACTCACACTAACCTAGGCTGGCATACTCACACTAGCCTAGGCTGGCATACTCACACTAGCCTAGACTGGCATACTCACACTAACCTAGGCTGGCATACTCACACTAACCCAGGCTGGCTTGCTCACACTAACCCAGGCTGGCATACTCACACTAACCCAGGCTGGCATACTCACACTAGCCTAGGCTGGCATACTCACACTAACCCAGGCTGGCATACTCACACTAACCCAGGCTGGCATACTCACACTAACCCAGGCTGGCATACTCACACTAGCCTAGGCTGGCATACTCACACTAACCCAGGCTGGCATACTCACACTAACCCAGGCTGGCATACTCACACTAACCCAGGCTGGCTTGCTCACACTAAGCTAGTCTGGCATACTCACACTAACCTAGGCTGGCTTGCTCACACTAACCCAGGCTGGCATACTCACACTGATCTAGGCTGGCATGATCACACTGACCTAGGCTGGCTTGCTCACACTAACCTAGGCTGGCATGCTCACACTAACCCAGGCTGGCATGCTCACACTAACCTAGGCTGGCATGCTCACACTAAGCTAGACTGGCATGCTCACACTAACCCAGGCTGGCATGATTACACTAACCTAGCCTGGCATGCTCACACTAAGCTAGGCTGGCATGCTCACACTAAGCTAGGCTGGCATGCTCACACTAACTCAGGCTGGCATGATTACACTAACCTAGGCTGGCATGCTCACACTAACCTAGGCTGGCATGCTCACACTAACTCAGGCTGGCATGATTACACTAACCTAGGCTGGCATGCTCACACTAACCTAGGCTGGCATGCTCACACTAACCTAGGCTGGCATGCTCACTACTCACACTAACCCAGGCTGGCACGCTCACACTAAACTAGGCTGGCATGCTCACACTAATCTAGGCTGGCATGCTCACACTAACCTAGGCTGATACATAACAGTACTTAACAATAGAAACAGGACTTGTAGAACATTTAATATTTAAGATAAAATGATAAAAACAGATGGAAGCAATTATAAACATCAAAAGTAACCCCAAGCTATTAACGTATAAATCAAGTTTTGACAGCCAGTAAGCCAGTTTGAAGACTGAAAAATCACTAAGAACAGGTTTACGTACACATAAGGTAACAATCAACCGAGTCATGAAACATCAGACACAGTCATACAAAATATAGTGCGTACAAAGTCCATCCATCATCGATTACAGAACACAGCTGTATTATTGTGTAAAACACTCAAATAAGTTGAACAGAGGAAATCGCAGAACATCATGGCATCTTAATAAATGCAGCTGATCTGACTTGGATATCCAGCACTGATATATAAATCTATCGATATAGGACCTACACAAACGTTTCGTTCCTTCATGATAATAAACCAGAATCCATTATCTCAGAAACTACTTACAGTCTGGAAACAGCTCTTGTTTTTATAGGTTAAATAACAATAAATACATTTACATAAACAATACACAACTTAATTAAAACATTGAGTAGAATGGACTTTGTATCTTCCTCTTACGACTTAATTATATATATATATAAATCCACAAATAAGCGTTGGAAAAACTGAAAACTGATTCTACATTCTTGGCCCTCATAAGCTTATCACTTACCATATGATACAGTGAAACGAGGGGAAGTAACTCTGGGAGATTCGAATTAATTTTCTACAAAGGGATGATCCGCTTATTGTATAAAGAGTATGATCGAACTATTAAATCATTAAAAAATTTTACAACATAATCTGTTCAGATTTGGACTTTTTTCGATGTTCATACCATACCCATCGTTTAAAATGTAAACAGGTATGTATATAGTGTAATTTTTACCTGAAATTTCAGTTATAAATTATATACATATAAGCTGACTGGGGATTAAAGTCTATGCTTTGTGAGCAACCTCGGTACCAGTGATGGCCTAAAGGAACTAAATGGTTAGATATTCATTTCATAACTGATTAAAAACATGATAACATTTGAATATCTGCTAAAATTGTGTACTTTCTGGTAATTATGATATTTTAAAGTTTGCATAACCATTTTATTAACAACATGAAAAAAAAAATAAAAAGTAAAAAAATAAAATAAATTAAGAACAACCCAACACTAATTCATATTATCGTTCAGAGAGTGTAAACAATGTCTTTGCGCACGCAATTTTAGATTAAGATGTATCTAAATTAATATCCTTCGCTCTGTCATGCGTATAGCGTGAAACAAGCGGTCATATTACAAAGTAAGAATTGAAACATGGCGGGCAAATTAAGTTTTAGCTAATTACATAGTTATACATAGTATGATACCATATCAAAACGGCGGCTTAAAACGAGGCTCCGAATGGTCACGTGATGAACTCGGCTTCTCCGATCAAAAGAGCGATAGGTGGTAGACTTAACAGCGAGTGTCGACTAGCGGTAGTTTGAAGCTGATAATCTTTATCAATTTCTTCCAGAGAGTGTTGTAATTTTGCGAAGAGTCTAATTTTTAATATTACAAATCTTGACCGCAACCAAACGGATGTGGAAAAAAGCCGAAATCTATCCATTTAAAAGGAGGTGTTCAAGTTTTCACTAGACCATCGTCAGGTAAAAGGTTAGCAAATGCTCTATTAGAATGTTAAAATGTGCTTTAACATGGTCACTATAGTGAAATTATAAATGCTTTACAAAATGTAGGGTAGATTCCACAACAAAACGCAGACATTGAAATATGAATAATAACCTCTGTTCACTACTTACACACAAACATCCAGGGAACCAAATGGAATCGTTGCATTATGTTAGTACTGCGGTCAAAATATTGTAGAAAATTGAAATCACAACTGTCGGCTTTGTAAAATAAAAATGACGGTGGCATTTAAATCAGAGTTGTCTCTCTTCTTATAAGACTCTTACATTTTGAAAGTTTTGTATTATATCAAATAATTTGTCTAGCTCAGAAATTCAGCGTTTAGAACGTTGACCTGTTCCACGCCCATTAGCTTATGGCACAAACAAAACTGAAAATACAGACACTCGGTTCTTTGTGAGTCAATCACTGAAGTGCATCTAAAAGTTTCTGAAAGAATTCCGGCCGAGTACTCTTATCATTTTTCCACTCGATATAGGTAACGGCATGTATAAGGCTCTGAATAGTATCATGGTTAGGTTGATGGCTGATGTCTTCCAACATGACGATTACAACTGACGCTGTACCTTCTGCTATCACCCTCTGGTAGGCCGTCGTCGCCTCAAATTGACACCACTCACTTTTAACAAAGTCACGTGAGAAAACCAGTATCACTTTCCGACTCACTTTCATGTTGTTTGTAATATTATCTGCAATGAAATTACCCGGAAGAAAATCCCTCTCATGGAGGCAAAGACGAAGCTTCCGCTGTTTCTCTAGGAACGGAAGTAGATGATTAATTACCCAGAGTCTATTGTCAATGTGATGTGCAACGAACGCATCATACACAAATTCTTCGCCGTCTGGAAGATGGTCGTATGGTTGTAAGGAGCGAACAAGTAGCATTCTGTGTTTTATATGATAACGTCCTTTGTACACGATAAATGCTAGTAGCAGGAGCACTGCCGCTAAACAGCCTAATCCAACCCCGATAACATCCTGGGCTCGAACAGGGGGATTACATTCGTGTTTGTCAGGTTCATATTGGTCCACGGTCTTTTCCTTCCATTCATCCGGGTACAAACACTCATATAACTTTGGATAATGCTTACTGAGTTTTTCGTGGTTTTCTGCTAGCCAGTCTCTAAACCACAAAAAGTCGCACGTGCATTGGAATGGGTTATTTGAAGCAGAGAAATATCTCAAATTGTTCCAGATATGCATTGGAAAAGAGGTTTCATTAAACACTGCAATTTGGTTTCCCGATAAAATTATTTCTTTTAAAGGTAAATTCGTGAAAATTTCGGAATCCCATCTTTTTATATAATTACCTTGCAGCTGAAGTATTGTCAAATTTGTCATTGTTGAAAGAAAGGAAATATTATCGACCATGCCATATTTGATTTTGAAGTCTCTCATATTGACTAAATGGGAGAACATGTCCGAAAGATGTTCGGATACATTCTTGAAAATGACATTGGTGAAATGTATCGTCTGTATATTGGGACTTTGTTTGAACATTTTGATATGTTCGCTTCGAAGATGTAATTTTTCACTTGTAGTAAGACGAAGTTCATGCAGCGTGGAAGCGTTAAAGGCATGTGGACCAATATCCACTCTCTCACTTACGTATTTAAGTAAGATTTTACTAATTTTTGGAAGCCGAGAAAAGACATTATCTGGAATTTTGAAAATGTGATAGTTATTACTCAAAATTAAGTCCTCCAATTGAGAAAGACAATGGCCTTCTGAGAGGAAAATTGAAATGTCAGACAGGTAATTCCAAGAGAGATCCAGAATCCGCAATTTGTTTGAGAAGTTCCCACAGAATTTTAGTCCATTTGACTCAATTCTATTATCGGACAAGTTAACGAGTTCAATGTGACTTAAATTTTCAGCGAATGGAAACGTTTCGAGGCTATTGTTTGTCAGGTCTAGACTTTGAAGAAACGGAAACACGTGGCTAAAAAAAGAAGCATTGAACTTTTCGATTATATTGGACCTGAGAGTTACGTGACGTATGTTTCTGAGAGGAGACACATGTGGGTACATCCATTTTATGTCCATATAGTTCATACAGTCCATATTTAATTTTGTTATATTTGTCATCTCCAAAGCCGCTAGCAGTTCCTCTAAACGTAGCTTTCTGTTCCCATTGACGTTCAAGTGACTTAACCAATGCAAATCCCTGAATGAATTATTGGACAGACTCGTTATGTTACAGTGATCAAGTTTAATGCTTGTAATGTTCAGCGCTTTAATGTTCGAAAATAAATCACTTGTAACGTGTGTGAAATTGTTCCATGACAGCAAGACATGTGTGATGTTGCTGCGCAGGGTTGGGATATTTTGTAGCTTCAGGTTTCTACAATCCGCAGTAACGTTATGACATTTACATACAGAGCACCCATCGCTGACGGCGCGTTGGAAGGAAGTTGCATCAGCACACACACCAACAACCGCAAAGGTCACAAATATCCACAATCTCGTCATGACTTTTTGAAGAGAAATTGCGTTGATTAGGTCACGCTTTGTTTGACTGCCAGTTGAATTAGATACACTGTGAAAAAGATAAACAGAACATTACAAGGTAATTTTGACAAATCAGGAGTAAATCATTTGACAAACTTGACAAACGAAGCACGCAGGGTCGGGCAGAATCAGGCAGGATCGGGCAGAATTTACAGGATTAATACCATCATATGTTACCCCGATTCTGTCCGATCCTTTAAATCGTCTTTCGGTCTTGCGCAATCAAAACAGATATGTGTGTTTTATGGAATACGTCTTTAAAAACTGTTCATAGTGTTTAACATATGAAGATATGCAAAGAAATTCGTTAAAATAATTACAACGACGCTATTCTACCCTGATTCCGCCCGATCATGTAAATCGTCTTTCGTGTAGTGCCCACACCAACAAAGAGTGAACGCGAACGTACACAAGGACATGAGCCCACGGGTGGGGATCGGCAACAGGAAATCACCCAGCCAGAGAACAAAAACAACATAGAGAGGACAGACGATGGGGAGATCGTGGCACCGTGGCTAACGAACATCGTCAGTATACCGACAGACGGAGACATAACAATACACATAGAAGATAGGATCCCTGTTGTTTGCAGAGTTATCGAACTTGGCTGGCCTATCATTAAAAGTAAACGATAACAGATGGATTGGTCGTAATCGTTGTGCAGTACATCGTAATGCCAAACGGGGGAGTGGAGGGGTTGGAGTTTTTATGTCCTTAACGGTAGGATGGGGAAGGACAATAGCACACGTGTCGCTCGGTACAGGTAATAACACATCTAATATAACGACCAGAGGGGATTAAGGATGACTGTCCAGCAAAAACTGGAAGTATGTCGACTGTGGTTGAGGCTATGCCGTAATACAGAAGACCGTACGGTGAAGCGGCTCCACGAGTGGTCCAAATCCAGGGCAGGGTTGGAATAAGTGTGCTGGAAAAAGTTTTAATGGATCATAATCTTCATACCCTGTTAATACCTATGTTAAGATCACAAACATATTTTTATAGTTCTACATAGTCAAATATGCTTTATTGTTTTTTAAGTATTTTAAATTGATTATCGAGTCGGAATTCTCATCCGTTTATGGTTTAGTCTTAGGATACACGGATTAGCGACAGGTATTACAAACATACCATGTGACACCAGAGAAAAACAAACACAAACTACAGATTGTGGTGAGTCATACATATAAAATATTGTTTAGTCGGAGATACCATGTATCTAGAGGTTGCCAGTCTGTGATTAATTTCGTCTACTTTATAATAGTGAACCTGACCTTACTTGTGCATAGTAACCGATGGTATGTGGTTTAAATACACGTACACGACATGGGAATACTTTAGTAGCAATGTTAGTTCACGACAATACATAAGCCAACAAACATTTTTAACATAGTAGTTCATAAACGTACATCATATACTTAAATAATTATGAAATGATATAACTGATAACCATGATATCAGTTTTTATATTATCGTGCATTGACTGGTATAATGTATGGCGTCATGGGTAAGTGGACCTCGCGTGTTGAAATGCGGCAGGTTTAAGGCGGAATGCGCCATCATTTTAAATGCCTACGAATGGATTGGATAATGAATCTATGGCTGTATTTTAGGAAATTTGATGACATATTGCTATAAAAAGTAAGTCTAACGTAAGTACATTTTAGCTGGAAACACAGTTATGAAGTTGGAACTGAGATGGCCTATATTTACTTATGACAAAGTTCGATTCAGGCTAATCTATGTATGAATCCAGATGGCCTTGTGTGGGCGACACCTGTAGGTTCTAGGTGGTCCTGTGTTGGCGACACCTGAAGGTTCTAGATGAACCAAATGACTGTATTCTCTATGGAAATCATGTGCTATGGACAAAATTGTTCCAGTATGTACCTATCTTTATGAACAAACATGTATATGCATGTCTCATTGTACCCGATATGCCGTATGATCCTGATTTTGTTCGGTGTTACAACTGTATAGACATTTACCCGATATACCGTATGATCCTGACTGTGTTCTGTGTTACCACTGTACAGACATGTACCCGATATACTGTATGATCCAGACTGTGTTCTGTGTTACCACTGTACAGACGTGTACCCGATATACCGTATGATCCTGACTGTGTTCTGTGTTACCACTGTACAGACATGTACCCGATATGCTGTATGATCCTGACTGTGACCACTGTACAGACATGTACCCGATATGCTGTATGATCCTGACTGTGTTCTGTGTGACCACTGTACAGACATGTACCCGATATGCTGTATGATCCTGACTGTGTTCTCTGTGACCACTGTACAGACATGTACCCGATATGCTGTATGATCCTGACTGTGTTCTGTGTGACCACTGTACAGACATGTACTCGACATGCTGTATGATCCTGTGTTCTGTGTGACCACTGTACAGACATGTACCCGACATGCTGTATGATCCTGACTGTGTTCTGTGTTACCACTGTACACACATGTACCCGATATACCGTATGATCCTGACTGTGTTCTCTGTGACCACTGTACAGACGTGTACCCGATATACCGTATGATCCTGACTGTGTTCTGTGTGACCACTGTACAGATATGTACCCGATATACTCTATGATCCTGACTGTGTTCTGTGTGACCACTGTACAGATATGTACCCGATATACTCTATGATTCTGACTGTGTTCTGTGTTACCACTGTACAGACATGTACCCGATATGCTGTATGATCCTGACTGTGACCACTGTACAGACATGTACCCGATATGCTGTATGATCCTGACTGTGTTCTGTTATGATTTAAATATATTATGAAAATTTTATCATCTTATTACAAACGATTATCTATACCATGATCCTTCTGTGTTCCTGTTTACCACTGTACGACATGTACAGATATGCTGTATGATCCTGTTTGTGATTCATGTCTTATAATATAATTTATACATGCAGTACCGGAAGTGCCTTATAAATCGGTCAGATTTATGAAGATATTGTATATTTCTTTGTATTACGATAAAATATTAATTATTATTGATATAACTCTACATTCACCCACAAACACAACACCTGTTTAACAGTATGAAGTACAAACCATATCCCCATAAAATACCGTAAAACATACCTACACTTCGCGAAATATCAAAATTCAAATTATATCGCATTTTAAATACGTAATATATGAATATTTTGGTGTGTTTCTGTGTAAGTACTATACTTTACTTCCTGTTAGAAGACACATACAGTCAACCCAGTAACTGTTTGTATACATGATTTAAAAATACTTATCATAAATAATTGAACATCACCAGGTGTATGACAAAGATCACAAACACTCATGGACGCTTGGCTAGGTGTATCCCATCATATTTAGACGTAACATTTGCCCTAGCCTCCTTCATCTTATGACACAACCAGTAGAAGATTAGAGTGTGACGTTTCGATGACTACACGGTCACCTTCATCTTATAACACAACCAGTAGAAGATTAGAGTGTGACGTTTCGATGACTATATGGCCTTCTTCATCAGACAAATGACCAGCGTAAAGTGTTTAAGCAATAACATCCGAGATGGTACATAATCGATAGAAAAAAAAAAAAAAAACATACAAGATGTTAACAATATACTGTCCTTGTTACGGCTACACTTTGTGAAGCATTTGGTCAAATGAGCGAGAGTCTGTGCCTCCTCCCCTACCCTGCCTTCCTTATTCCTGTTTGGACCGGTGCTGACTGGGACGGCGTAGCAGCACTTCTTTACTAACAAACGATTATATATCACAGTACGTTTAATGTATTATTGAATGGACAAGTGATATGATACAAGTCAAGCTACTTTAAAACACTTTAGTCTAACCCCATAACACGTTAACTTCCACAAAATCATTGATAATAGGTTATACATCGATTGTAATATTCCGATTGAGCAATCACAACTTCCTCAGACATCTACTCAATTTTTATAAATATATCATTTATATAGTTTTTCACAAATGTCTACACTGCTTTTACAGAACTCATGTCAGAAATCCCTTCCTGAATAAACTATTAAAACCCATGTCATTTCGATGGATATTTCCAATGTTATGTCTATACCATACCTACCTTATCAGTAGACAGCGGGACCCTACGTTTATATACCAAGGACACTAATCATTCAATAACAACTTGTCTCTGAGATCCTTTATATGTAAGATATTTCAAAGTTACTTCCTGGTTGTTAACAGTCGATCTACCTGTGTTACTATGAAAAGTTCTATAAATAGAGGTAAAACGTCTCTGTGTTTACATGTAAAGTAGTTGTATATAGAGATAAAATATCTGTATATAGAGGTAGATGTAGCTATATATAGAGGTAAATGTAGCTGTATATAGAGGTAGATGTAGCTATATATAGAGGTAAATGTAGCTGTATATAGAGGTAGATGTAGCTGTATATAGAGGTAAATGTAGCTGTATATAGAGGTAGCTGTATATAGTAGCTGTATATAGAGGTAGCTGTATATAGAGGTAGATGTAGCTGTATACAGAGGTAAATGTAGCTATATATAGAGGCAGAGGTAGATGTAGCTATATATAGAGGTAAATGTAGCTGTATATAGAGGTAGATGTAGCTGTATATAGAGGTAAATGTAGCTGTATATAGAGGTAGATGTAGCTATATATAGAGTTGTTTAAATGTAGGTTATTGCTATGTTATGTTGTTAGTTATAGTGTGTATAGAGTTCTTATGTTGTAATATACGCCATCATTTGAAGTTGTGATATGTTACAGGTAAATTAGTTTGATGAATTTCACCTGTGTAAAAAATGTACGGAAGCCCTTACGGGACATAGCTTAGCTATTGTGTACATGGATGTTAGTGTTAGGAATAGAACGACACGGGTTTATGTTAGTATTTTGTGTATCTAATTATTAATATTTGGGCATATATTAGTAATTAATTTGGGTATTTATTCTATTACTATTAA